CATTTTATTATTTATAAAATTGTTTGTTTATTTTTTTGTTATAAGTACACAAAATATAAAATACATGTTTATTTTAGGACACATTGTCTTATTTAGCTAATTGAAAATGTATAATTACAAAAAAAAAAAAGTATAGCTCTTCTTCTTTATACGCAATTCGTATTTTAGCTTGATACAAAAAAAAAACAAATAAAGAAACAATTTTATAAATAATAAAATGTATAACTAAATATATCTATATGTTATATTATTTTATATTAAAATAAAATAATGAACAAACAAATAAACAAACAGACAGACAGACTAACGAACAAACAATTAAACGGACAAACAAAGACACTGACGAACGAACAAATAAACAAACTAACGAACAAACAAAGAAACTATCTAAGATCAAATAAACAAATAAGCAAAGAAAAATATCAAGCAAATTAACAAACAAATGAATAAACCAAAATGATATTACCTTAATGATTTTTATTTCTGCCAAAAATATAAAAATCAAAAAATAATTATTATTACTACCAAAAAAAAAATAAAAATAATTTTTTGATTTTTATTTCTGCCCAAAAAAATAAAAATCAGAAAATAATTATTATTTCCACCAAAAAAAATAAAAATCCAAAATAATTATTATTTTCTGAGTTTTATTGTAAAAATCATAACGGTTACGGTCCCTGGTATAAATTATTTTATGTCGATTTTAGAAAAGGTCCTTATATGAGGGGTAGGGTCAATTATTGACCGAACCTCATAACTTTTTGTATACCGATTTTGGTTCATATAAAACTTGTTTACATTGAATATCATCGCTGAACTCCCAATTTTATGCCAGTAATTAGAGTTAAAGTAATTTTATGAAGGGGGTTTATATGAGAGGTAGGGTGAGTTACCGACGCATTCCGCATGAAATTCGGTAGCAAGATTAACATTCGTATAAAAGTTTCTTATGTAGAATTTCATAACTCGAATTTTTAAGCCAGCAGTGATCGCTTAAGTATCGGCCCAATTATGGACCTATCCTCACTAAATTTTGTCTGAAGGGGATCTTATATGAGGGTAGGGTCAATCATATACCGATTCTCATAATGGTCAATTATGGACCGATCCACATAAAATTTTTTATAGATATTTCGGCTCGCGAGGAACTTATTTGTGTCGAATTTCATCGCTATACAATAAGCCAAGTAATTTTCTAAAGGGGACCTTAAAGTAATTTTCTGAAAGGGACCTTATATGGAGGGTAGGATCAATTATGACCCGATTCTCATAAAAGGCAGTAAAGAGGTGTTGGATCGTAAGAAACTTACTCATTTCGAATTTCATAGCTATACTTGTGTTTTTAAGCCAATAATGAGCGTTAAAGTAGTTTTCTGAAAGGGACCTTATATGGGAGGTAGGGTCAATTATGGACCGATCCTGATAAAATTTGGTATAGAGATTTTGGCTAATATAAAACTTATGTCGAATTTTATCGCTATACTCGTACTTTTTAGACAGTTATGACCAGGGAAACCGAAAACATGCTCTAAAAAAAGTGTTTTAAGTGCTTTAAATATGCCGTAAAAAACTCAAAATATGCTCTTAAAATTTAAAATATATGCTCCGAAAATGAAATTTATAATTATTTTTTAACATTGAAAAGCTTAAAAAGACTGAAATTGTAATGAAATAATAAATGTTTAATGTCATATTCTATATCCTACAAGATTTTTTATAAATGTTTCATCTCAGTTTGAAGAACTAGTTTAATAGAATTCCGTTTTACGTTCAGATAACCAATAAATAACATGAAACCATTTGGTCCCCAAAAAACAAATTTCAAACGACAAAGTTTGACACATTTCTTCCAATTGTATTCATAGCTTTTAAACTGACATTTTAATCGGTGTTGTCATAAATTCCAATAATTAGTTTTTTGAACTATAAAAATGGATTGGTCTCATGAAATCAAAAGTAATCGGTTTTATGTCCGATTTAAAATGTAATGCTTTATTGAACAAAAAACTATAACATTGGTTTTCATGAGACTAATGTATTTTTTGCAGTTTTCAAGTTCTAAAAACGAAATTTTTTTTTCAAAATTGTAAAATAGGCTAAAAATTAAAAAAAAAAAATAAAAAATAACATTTTATTTTTTTTCAATAAAGTTTTGAAAAGAAAATTAAAAATGTACAAAAACGAAAAAAAAGCGAAAACATCAAAATATGCACTAAAAGAGTAAAATATGCTCTAAAAACTCGAAAATATGCCTTAAATATGCTAAAAAAGTCAAATCATGCAAAATTATGCTCTTATGGGTAAAATATGCAAAAATATGCTCTAACAAATCGATGCCAAAATTCTTAAATTGATCTGAAACGTGTAAATACCTTATCCATGAGCCCATACGACGCACCACAAAAAACATGCATTTGCATATTTTGGTTTCCCTGGTTATGACCGTTAAAACTGTTTTCTGGGGGACCACTTGTATGAGTCTATCCGAAAACGTGGACCGATATTGCCCATTTCAATATCCTTATCCTTATCAATATGACATATTTATGCAAAATTTCAGCTGTCTATGTAGACCCTATCGTGATTTCAGAATATATATACTTTTGGGGGTCTATGACCGACATTTCGATGTGTTACACACGGAATGACAAAATCAATATACCCCCCATCTTTTTTGATGGTGGGTATAAAAATTAATCGGTGGGTGACAAAGAAGCTACATAATACCGAAATCGATAAGCCGTTAGAAAACAGTAAGAAATTTATTTACAAACTTTATATAGATTTTCATTTTAACGGTTTTTATATTATTTACTCATTTAAATTCAGAAATGGAAGCAAGAGATAATTATAAACAAGCAGTTATTGGCTAACCACAAAAATATTAGCATCAAAGTTTCTCGTGTGCAGAAAACGCATTGTTTTTCTTACAAGAAAAAACTAATGAAGCACACCCTTCCTGCTAATTAAAATTAATAAAATTATGTTATTTTAGGTTGCTATTAATGAGGTCTATAGCAAAATCTATAAGCCGTTCGAAAAATATAACGGCTTATAGATTTTGATTTAGATTAAAGATATATAATATATCTTTAATCTATCAAACATAAATGCATAATTTTTTAGTTAATGGTTGTAAATTAATGTATTAATTCATCATGTTAAATAGTCTATAAAAAAAGTGTACTTTACAAAAAAAATATTTTTTGAAGAGGTAGAAAAAACGCTTAAAAATCGAATTTATCCATAACTATTTGAAATATTTGTTTTATATTAATTTGTATTTTGAGTCCTTCGTTGTGTGTTATATCCACGCTTATATTTTTGAGTCTTAGGTAAAAACATTATTTTGGGCATTTTTTTAAACTTTTAACTTTATACCGCAATAACATTGGCGGCTTTTGCTAAAAATTATTCACGAGAAGATAATTGTACTTCTAAGATGTTAGACATTGTCCACACAAAATATCGTTGATGTGCTATTAAAAATTTTCATAATTTTTTCGAACCCCAAAATCTAAATTAAAAAGAGAATCCCATATATACAGTATTAATAAATGTTTATTTAGTTCAGATGTATAAAAATAACATATAATTTCTAATTATTATTAAAAGTATCCGAATAACGGATATTTTGAGACAAAATAAACATAACTATTGCAAATTTTCTTATTTTTACTTATTTTCCTTGTAATTTTTTGATATTTGACTAAGTTTTAACGCCGGCGAATATATTTTGTATAAAACTAACCAATATAATTCACATGATTAATTACTTTATGGCATTATATTTAACCAAGAAACTTTGGAAAATGCAAATCAATTGATTTTGTCCATCATTTGGTTGACAGACGGGCATTTCAAAATTGCCTAAAAATAGTACTGGAAAATTAGAATATTGTCAAATTATAAACGTTTAAAATTTTACTGGGATTTCATATAAAAATTTGTAAATGTTAAAATTAGAATTTTTAGATTTTATTTTAAAAGAAACCATAATTAGTTTTCGCTATCAACCTAAAATTACCGAAAAAAGCTTTATCTGTGAAACAAATTTTAAAAATCAACTTATTGTTTACAATAGAATGCTTATATTTGTCAATGGTTTATTAAAGGTGTTTTAAACTATTTGACGTTTATGAATACGATTTTCCTGAATTTTGCCTAAAATTGTTTAATAAACCTAAAATAAGTTTTTATAAATACAGCCGAATATCTTTGACTTAAAAATAAAATAAAAAATGATTGATTTCTTAAAATCTGAAATAAAAAGAGAATTTCCAAATCTAGGGTGTACATTAGGGATATAACTAATTTGGCGAAATTTTTGGCATACCACCACGTGATGGCCAATGTTATATAATTAGTGAAAATAATTTTTTTATGTCATTTGGAATCAAAAACATCACGCACCAACGCCAATTTGTAATACATATAAACCAAATTTTTTGTTCAAGTTTTTAATTTTTTTATTTTAAATACAAGTATTTCCACCGACATGATGTGACAAAGGCAGACTTTTCGGTGGAAATGTATAGGTATATACTTACATTAGACTTTTTGATGTTTTTGCAAATATAAAATTGTACATCCCATAATCAAAAAGTCCATAAAAAAATAATAAGAAACACAACACTCCCGCAACAAACAAGTTGAAATTTGTTGATCTTATTTGTTTTGATAATATCTTCGATACTTATAGATCGATTTTACTGATTTTACACAGGGAAATTTTTAAGAGTATATCTAATAAAATAATCTAAAATTTAGATTCCGAAGATATATGTGGCCTTCAAAAAACTGATTTTAATAAACAGACATTTGGTGCGTGAACTTTTTTAACAATATTTATATCTTTTAATGCTCTATTTGACTTTGCTATGCCATCTTGCATATTTGCAAAATATGTCAATAGTTATATCCATAGTGTATATATCTAAAATTGAAGAATATCAAAAAGAAACTTAACAATTAAAGTTTTTATTAGCTCATATATTTACCATTATACTCCGAATCAGAACACATAAAACTGACTTTTGGACTTGTTTTATTGTCGTTCAGGGTATCAAAGCCAACGGATGTGTTAATATTCCTAATAAAAGAAAAAAAATCACTAAATTACAAGAACAAATTTTAAACAAAATTATTAGGTTAGGTTGATATGAGGATATATACTACATCAAATCCGAAGAAATACACCTAGGCCACTATCGACCCTTTTCATGGAAAAACAATTGTTCGCTGAATGTATTATTTTTCAATGTTCAGAAACTCAGTTTTCTGGACGTAATTCCTAATAATTTTTCAATCAGTATTAGTCAGGAAAAGAAAGTGCTCCAGAGTTTCCCTATCCTCTCCACATGCTCTACATTCGTCTGAATCTGGACGTCCAATTTTGTATAGATATACTCGTAATCCTGTGTGTCCACTAAGAATACGTACCATCATACTAACCTCAGAGGAGGTTTTCATACTGAGCGCGTCCCCGGGTGGCGGATAGCTTTAGTTTCACTCAAGCTGAGGGAGGGCAGATTGTCCACCACCTGGGAGTATTATATTCCCAGCGGATAAAAAAACTGGAAAAAACAAACATGGAAAATAAAAATATAAAAGTTACGGTGCAGGGCCTAAAAAAACCAGTACCGCGGCAAGTGTTGATCTACTCGCAAGTCACTTGTCGTGGTCATCCTGCAATCGTAAGCAAACGACTACTACGGAGGTTGGTAGCTAGGCCTCCGTGGCAGACAATGCGTCAAGTGTACAGCCATTGGCAAAAACATTGGTGTGAAAGAGAAGGATGTTGTCGGAGAGAGCTCTAAGCTACCTCAGCCTTTAAATATAGATGAGGGTTCCGACTCTGAATCCTGAGATGATAATAAAAACACCATTATAGCAAATCCCAAAAAGGATGAATTAGAGCAAATGGAGAAAGAGGTGAGTGATAGCATAGCTAAACTACCTATTACTAAGAAAGGATTTTCTGGAGCACAGAGGAGGAAGTTAAAAAAAATGCTTCAGGAAATCATAGTTAGTCAATCCCACAACACTCCAAAGGAAAATTCAGACTCTCTCACAAGATCTGAGGAAAGAGAATCAGGTCGTCACCTAAGACGGTACCCAAAAGATCATTAGCCAGTACTGATAATATTGAGAAGAATCACTCACTTGTCAGAAGACAGAACAGCAGTGCTTTCCACAATTGGTGTCGATTAAAAATACTGCTATTCTTATGCCAGACAAGCACACCGCAGTGCCATCAATAGTAATCACTGAATTAATAGCCACTTCAGGTTACCCGGAGGAGTCAAATCCAAAGGTGAAAACCAACTGGCTGGAAGACAGTTTAATAGATGACCACGATTGAGGTTATCTAAATGAACCTCCATCGGAGCGAGACGACTACCAACTCTTTGATGGCTAAAATTAACACAGGTAAGATTCATATTTAATCCAGGAACCTTGGACCATTCGCAACAATGTTTCTGGATTAAATCGCGTAAAATTCCAATTTTTCTACGCTGATACGGGGTCTCCCGAGAACATGTAACTTATTTCACAAGAACTTATGTTTTTTCGTCTAAACAGATTTATCAACTTCGGATGCAACATCGTGGCAACATATACCTTGCATCTGTTTACCTGCCCTTCGATTCTCCGACAATACCACCAACGTCGGATCTGATGAAACTGGTCGAAGAGGCACAAAGGAAAAATAAGAAAATTGTAATAGGTTGTGATACAAATTCCCACCATGTAGCTTGGGGTAGTACAAACACCAATCGCAGGGGACAATCCCTTATGGATTTCCTTAATACTAAAGACTTGATCACATTGAACTTAGGTAATAAAGCTACCTTCGTCAATAGAATCAGAGAAGAAGTATTATATATAACTATATGTTCAGAAGACCTTATAAAAGAAATTCAGGATTGGAGAGTTTCGGACGAGCACTCATTTTCTGACTATCGGTACATAAGATTCAATATACTACTGCCGCCACCAAAGCCGGTAAGGTTTCGGAATAAGTCTAAAACTAATTGGACAATGTTCGGGATCTTACTAAAGAACCGTTTATGTCAGGACACTTTCCAATATCGAAATAAAGAGAACAACATAGACGCCAAAGTAGAAATGGTCACAAGTGTCCTGGTTGAATCGTTTGAGGACAGTTGCCCTCTGTTAGAGCGGAAACTTTTCTGTAATCAGGCAGATAGCGTAAATGACCTATCAAAGATAAAAAATTTCTATTCAAAACTCATGTGCAACCGGAAAGCAAACTGTATACACTGTCAGTATGCATTGACATCGAAAGCGCTTTCAATAACGTGCACGCTGATACTCTTATCCAATCCCTAGACCAGTTTTATGTTGACTGGGTGCTCCGTAACTGGATCAACTACTTGCTAAAAACAGATGGATAAGCTGCAGATGTAGGTATAACTGTCCGGAAAAAGGACAGTTATACCTACATACCACAGGGTGGCATTTTGTTTCCTTTACTCTGGGTTACCACGATTAATGGCCTCCTAAGGACCCTAACTGATAAAGGCCTTAGACCTGTCTGCTATGCAGGCTATGTCGTAGTAATTTTAATGGGAAAGGAGCTGGGCTCAACGGAGAGGCCTCAATGTTAAATTGTACAAAGAATATAGATATTTCTTCATTGCTTCCAAAAAAATTTTAAATTGGTTTAATTTTTTTCAAAATGGAGCCTTTTTTGCTCAAATGAAAGCTTATACAATTTTCCTTAAGCGCTTTATAATATTTTTAAACTCAAGAATAAGATTTTTTCAATATTTGGTTCTTCATTTACTTAAACATTTTTACGTAAAAAATTTTAAGACAAAGCAAGAATCAAAACAGAAAATTAGAATAAAAAATAAAAATACCCATTATGTACTCGCTTATCTAATAGTGCTTTAAGACTATGAAATCAAATGAAATTGCATACATATTTTTAAAAAGAGAATAAAAGTCGGATGATTTATACCTTTTGCCAGGGTACCAAATATTCATTCACTTATTCCTCACGCTCATGAAAAAAAGAAATAAATTTTGTTATGTTATGTTCCATTCGTGTACAAAACGAAACAAAAATTTATGTTTGCTTTATTCATTCTTGCTTGATACTGTTAGTAATGTTTTTTATTTTCGTACAATAGTGAGATAATAAGAAAAACTTTATTTCATGCACATGGACATTTTTGAGAAATACAATTTTTGTAAAAATCTCACAACTGAAAGAGCATAAAATTTTATTTTGCGCTAACAATCCAAAATGAAATCTAAAATTGTTTTATAGATCTGTTGATAAATAAATGTAAAATGTTGAGAGTGTTCGTGTTTTTGCATGAAAGAATAAAATAAGAATATGTGCAAAGACTGGTAGAACAATAATTTTGTGTTTTTTATGATGCGTTGGATAAGTATGAAGGGAAAACAAAAAACATTCCCTTGTTCTCTATCACAGAATTTAAAAATATATTATGCTCTTGCCTACATACATTCTTACATATAAGAATACACGTACATATGTTTATTTCTGTTTTTTTGCTCGGTACTTGTTTCTGTTATGTTTTTTTTTTTTCAATGTAAGTCGTGCTTATTTTTCTTTTTTTTTTTTGTAAAAAATTTCTTTGTTTTGTTGTTGTGCAAACAAAAAAATTTTGATCCACACCGAAATAGGGCATAAATCTAGCGTCCAAATCCAGCTGATTTTAAAAATTTGTTTATACCACATGATATTACTTTTCCTTGTGACTTCAACAAAGGACAAAAAGTTATCCGTTCTATTAGGGTCCGGAAGTTATGGGCCTCCGGAAGTTTATATATAATTGAATATATCTCGGTTACTGATTCAAAGATATATCATGGGATTAGAACGCTAGGTTTATGCTCAATTAACTTAAAGATAACCACAAAAAAAGGACAACGCAAAATAAAACATCATTAAAATAAATCGTTATGACAAAAACACAGGCACAATTCATGCCTAACAACTAAAAAATCTAAATATTTTTCTACATACACATACTTATTGAATGCAAAAGAATGAGAAGACATTTTTTTGTTTTTTTTTTGTTAATTTTACAACAAAAAAAAAACAACATGGAAAATAAAAATAAAAAGATGAATGTTACGGTGCAGGGCCTAAATAACCCAGTACCGGCGGCAAGTGCTGATCCAATTGCGAGTCACGTGTCGTCGTCATCCTGGAATCGTGAGCAAAATACTGCTACGGAGGTGAGTACCTTGGCCTCCGTGGCGTGCAATGCGTCAAGTGTACAGCATGCCATTGGCAAAAACGTAGGGGTGAAAGAGAAGGATGTACTCGGAGAGAGCTCTAAGCTACTTCAGCCTTTTAATATAGGTGAGGGTTCCGACTCTGAATCCTCAGATGAAAATAACAACGCCATTATAGCAAATCCCAAAAAGGATGAAGTAGACCAAATGGTTAAACAGGTGAGTGATAGCATAGCTAAACTACCTATTACTAAAAAAAAGACTATCTGGAGCACAAAGGAGGAAGTTGAAAAAGATGCTCGAGGAAAGAGAGGCTAGACAGTCGAAAAGGAAAAGAGCCGCCATCTTACGCTAAAGTTGCCAGAAGAAGACACCGGGACGATCTCTGCTATGCAGTTTACGATGCCGGTAATCCGACAGGCAAAATTCCAATAGACCAACAGAGTAAGGTAGAAGATCTGGTGAACAATAAGATAGTGGACAAAGGACAAAGGACAAACAACCAATAGAGAGCGTGTGCTGCGAGTTCAGCATGGACTTGATGTTGATGAGGTTGGCATCTCACCAATGTGTTAGCACCCTAAAGAACTTGGTGGAAAGTATCCCTCCTCTCTTGAACGGCGCTAAGCTGGGACTGGCAAAGAAGAGCGAGCTTCCAGTGCTCTTAAAGTCCACTGTCTACATAAAAGGATGAGGCAGTAAACTGGGTAATGAACGTATACTAGAAATTCTTAGTGGTCAAAATGCTGAGCTGGCCGTGGAAAAATGGAAAAATGTCTTTTACAGGAAAGAAGAACCTGAGGGAACTTTATTTGTAATAGGTATCGACAAGAAATCTATGGCTGGTCT